CTTCCCCAATAGAAATGCGTGCCCCAGTGCAGGAAGTATTAGTATTTTAAGGGGCTCAGAAGCCTGGAGGTGACTGTTTGGAATTAATAGCTCCTGCCTCACCCACCATCTAACCATTTAATCATAATTATTGTATTAAAGAGCAGACACCTGTGCTTCAAAAGCTGGATTTACATGACATTCAACTTTTTATCTGTTCTCTCTTCGAAGCTTTGTTCTCCTAAGGCCAGGCCCATAAGCTACTGTGAGGGATGAGCATTCATGGCTCTTGGCGTGGGCCATAAGAAAACAAGCTCCCTGATCTGGCTTCGTTTGTGTATGTCTGGCTGCCCTGGTTTCAGTGGACAAGGTCCGCCGAAGGGAATGGTCGTCATTAGGAGAGTGGGTTCTGAGGGTATTGGGTTTGGTGGGAAAAGGGTCCCCAGGGAATGGGTCACTCCTTTCATTCTGACCTCACTGCAACTTACACAGTGTGCAGGGCCCTTATAACAGCAACTCAGTTCCAGCCTGGGCAGCCACCTGGAGTGACTCAGATCTGAGCAATGGAAGTCCAGAGAATGCAGGAGAGCCTTGGTCTGGGTTCCTTCTGCTCTCAAACACCTCTTCAGTCTTGCTTGGTGTAGACCGAGAGCCTGGCCACTTAAGCAGATTATAAGGTCTTCATTGCAGAAGACCTGGAAGTGGCTTCCTCCCTCTGGATGGTGTCACCTGTAGGATTGGGCCCTGTTAGTGTGATCATGCTGCCAGAGCCCTAGTGTTCTCTCCAGATGGTCTGGCTGTGTTCCATTACTGCTCCAGGCCTATAGTTGTCCTCAAGGTCTTGTCAGATCTGGACAAGCCCAGGAAACAGGCTGGGCTGTAACTTCAGGCAGATTCCCTGCCCTTGCTGCTGGAGACTGGAGAAGAGGGATACAACATTTCCAGGGCACTGGGAGTGACCCAGGTCAGAGAGTGCAGGGACAGAAACCTTGACCAGGAACCTCTCGGAGAGCAAGTTTCTACCTGCATGCTGGCTTCTCTCTGTGGGTTTTAACACACTTTCAACAGACTCCTAAGCTACAGGATGCCCTAACGGTTCCCACCTTCCCAACACTGCAACACTTTAATACAGTTCCTCATGCTATAGTGACCCCAACCATAAAATATTTCATGCTACTTCATAACTGTAATTTTGCTACTATTATGATCTGTAATGTAAATATCTGCTGTGCAGGATATCTGATATGAGACACCCTCCAAAGGGGTTAAAACCTGCCCACAGCCTGCCTTGGAGGGAGCCAGCAGGGACCACAGTGACTCAGGCTCTGCTTTTATCTCTCCCTGCTTGTTCATGGCTTATGGTTAGCAGGTACCAGAAGGATGGATAGATGAGAGCAAGAACTAGGACCCTGTGGTGGCCAGAAGATGAAATAGCAGAATAAGTACATCAGCTGGAGATGGGAGTGTGAAGTGTTCTTTCTTCTAAAATAAGGTCAGTGGCCTCAGCCACCAAAGGAATGAAGTCAGTAGCACAAACAAATGGGACATGGTTCTCTGGGGACCTTCTGTGAGCTTAGGTATAAGGGGTTTATCCCTGGATTGCTGAGGTGCACACCAGGTGGGGGTTGTCCACACACCATCACATTGTCCAGCCCTGTTGGCTGGTGAGGGACCATGTGTGAGGAGTGAACCAGACAGGGCTGTTGTACTCGTGGTGGACAAACTACGGATGACAAAGTGAAAACCCGTGACCCTCCAAGGACTGGAATATGTGTGCTTTCTCGGCCCTGGCTCAAGTTCCCAGACAAATCTGAGGTGGATGTCTGTGCAGAAGGGCCAGCAGGGTGGATGCTAGGGAGGCAGGCACCCTGGGGAAGCTGGCAAGCAATCTAGAGGGTGGCACTGACCACGCTCTGCAGCTCTATCTAGAGCTCTGGGGGAGGGGCCACCTCAGAAATTTGCTAGGACCTTGGACTACCCCACTCTGACTAATGTCTACATGTGTACCTCCATTTCCCACCCACCCCCAGCATCACCTTTGGTGAGCCAGCATCCTGAGAGGAATTCACTGGTGAGCAGCTGCAGGGGTGGAGTGCTAAGCTGCCATACCCGCTCTGGTAGCTTTGTTGGTGGTGGTTTTGTTTTTTTGGAGGGCAAAGAGTCTCTGGCCTAGAGAAAGGAAGTAATCTTGGAAGTCTGCATGGCAGAGGAGGCACTTCTTAAATATACAAGATGGTGATTTCTAGGCACAAGAGTAGGCAAAGAGAATAAGAGTAGAGGCATGTTTAAAAAACCAGCAGGGTGGGCTAACTGGACCTGCAGAAAAGACAGTCTGCACAGGCAGACAGGGACAGAATGCAGGTGTCGCTTACTGGGAGAACTGGATTGTCCTCTGTCACCTTTGTACCTGGTTGGGAAGGGACTTTCACAAGTGAGTAACTCAAGACAAGAGACAGGTTCTGGGACTTGCAGTCTACTAGCCCTGGGCTTGGGAAGTAGAAGGGAGAGGCAGGGAGATCAGGCCATGGAGGGAGAAGGAAGGACACGAGGACCAGTGACCCACTGATGGGAGGGGAGTTACAGGCTAGAATCAGTTTGATGAGGAAAAGCAGAGCAGGGTGGCACTGGTAGAGCATACAGTTTCTGCTTGCTGACCTTGCACTGGGGAAACCAGGACACCAGGACTGGAGGGGAAGGCCAGGGCTGACCCTGGCTGATGCTGTAAACTTGGGTGCAGTTTGCCTCCCAAGCAAGCTGGGAGGAGTCTTCCTTACAGGGAGCTGGGTTAGAGAAGCTTCCTAAGAGAGCTCCTGCACCCCCTTTTTTTGTGTAACCCAGAGTCTCATGTGAAAAGTCTGAGTCCTACCCCTATCTCATCTCTCTTTGCTCTAGGATGCCCCCTCCTCCCTCTCCAGCTTGTCTTCTCTACTCATGTGCCTTCCCTCTGTTGAAGAAGAAAGGGACCATGTTACCATGCTAAGTCAACTCCCCAGAGCCCTCAGTCCATGCCCCCTAAAACACAGACACATTTTTCTTGTTGGTTTTGCTTGTTTTGTTTTTTGAGACAGGGTTTCTCTGTGTAACAGCGCTGGCTGTCTTGAAACTTGCTTTGTAGGCCAGGCTGGCCTCGAACTCACAGATTCTCCTGCCTCTACCTCCTGAGTGCTGGGATTAAAGGCATGCACCACCACTGCCTGGCTGGCCACAGACATGATTTTAAGACTGCCCACCAAAGGCTGGAGGCAAGACCTTTGGTGGCTGGTGTGAGTAGCCTGGGGTTCCACAGAGGTTGAGGTAGAAGCCAAGGGAGGACTCAAGTTGGATTCACAGTCAGGGATAACCAAAAAAGGGAAGCTGTTTTTGTTTTCACCATCTGAAACAATTGACTTTTTCAGTGATAGGAGTTTTTATTGGATTATGTTATATCCATCCATATTTTGTTTAATTTTAAAAAGATCTTTTGGCTGAAGCCTGGCCGTGTAACAGCGAGTGCTGATGCTGCCGCTGTTGTGAAATTCACTTTGCAGAAGGGGAACCTGAAGCCCTGAGCACTGGAGAACTGGCTCAGATTGTACTGGTCACCAGTGGCAAGCTGGAGTGCAGACCCCTTCACTTGCCGCTGCCATGACCCCTGGACTGTCCAGCCCCCTGGAGTGACCTGAACAGGGAGCTTAGGTTCTCTTTCAAAGGTGGATTCGCACGTTCTCAGTCAGCAGTCACTTGTGGTGGCACACATGTGCAATCCTGTCAGTCCAGAGGCTGAGGCAGGAAGATCACTGCAAGTCCAAGGCTAGCCTAGACAAGACCCTCAAAAACACCACCAAAAGATCCCCCCAAATAACAAAAAGTCTATGCGCAGTAAATGAATGGACACCTGGGTACCAAACTGTAGGGAATGTCAACCTCTGAGTGTGGGACTATGGGTAATATTTGCTTCTTCCTAGCTTGTCCTGTATTCTCAGAATGTGTATAGTGAGAAAGTTTTGTTTGTCTCCAGGTAGAGCCTTACTAAATTGTCCAGAACTGCCTTTAATTCACTCTGCAGCTCAAGCTTTAAAAACTCTCTCTCTCTCTCTCTCTCTCTCTCTCTCTCTCTCTCTCTCTCTGTGTGTGTGTGTGTGTGTGTGTGTGTGTGTGTGTGTGTGTGTATTCTTTGCATCTACCTTGTGGGTCCCAGGGTTTGAAGTCAGGCCACCTGGCTTGGTAGCAAGTGACTTTATCTGCTAAGCCATCTTGCTAAGCCCTGACTTTAAGCTTTTGTTTCTCCTGCCTCAGCTTCCCTAGCTGAGGGATTACAGATGTGGGCCACCACACCTGACTAAAGGAAGTCATTATTTTTAGCACCAGGTAATGTTATCGGAAGCCCACTCACAGCCCTATGTTCTGGGGGACAGTGATAGACCTGCAGTGTTAGTTTCTGATCAGCTTGTGTAGCTGAGTCTCTGGACAGGTGGCCAGGAAGACCACCAAAAACTGTACTTCAACCAATGTGTGGTCATGGAATCTCTACACAGTAATAAAACCCACTCTCCAAGTCACTCCTCTGTACTTCTGCCCCAGGGCTCCCATCTCTAGTCCCAGAATCCCCAGCTACACACAGGGTATTTCTTCTCAAAGCCTATGGTAACCTCAAACCCCAAAGTGCAAAGCAAAGAACCTTGGTCTATAGAAAGATGGTCCTTGGCCAATGGGTGAGCCCCAGGCATCTTCACACTCTACTGTTCTGTCCTTAGTTAGGTGGTTTGTTTTTGTTTTCAGAGTCATGGTGTCATCATGTAGCCAGAGTGACTTGTGATTCTCCTGCCTCGGTCTCCCAAGTGCAGATGGCAGTCATATGCCCCATCCCATTATATATGCCAAAAGGGGTGGGGTTGGAGAATAGGGGTTATAAGCAGGAAGCAGGTTCCCATGGGGCTGAGATAAGGAAGGAAGGTGACCTGCCACCTCTGGCTCACTCTGCTCTGTGTCACTTGGGTACCATCATGGGATTCTCAAAGTGATCTTGTTTTTCCTTTGACTAGAGACCACCTGGGAACGGCCCAGCAATTCTCCTGGGATTTCAGCCAGCCCTGGCCCTCACAGGAGCTCTCTGCCTCCAACAGGTAAGATCTATTGGGCTGCTTTGGGTCAGTGGGAGGGCTACACACCCACTTTCACAGGGAAGCTGAGACTGGGTCCTAGGCTCTGAGACCTGGTATGGAATCTTGTGGACTACACATGGAGATGGTCCAGAACAGATCCCTGAAGCCTGCTTACCAACATGATGGCAGGACTAGCTATAGCTCTGGGTTCTTTACGACTGAAGTGCTTAGGAGGCTGGGTTAGGTGAGAGATTGGAGATCTTTCCGGTCCAGTGCGGAACAGCTCCCACTGAGGAGTGGAAGCTAAAAGAAGGTGGGGATTTACAGGGGAATTCTTGAACAGAATGTTCTGGAAAGGAAGTGGGATTGTTTGAGAGGATGTGAGTTATCTGCAGAGGTAGCTGGGGAGCTGAGTGGAGGCATTTGAGATATAGGTATAGGTATGAGGATTGTGCAGAAATGTCTTAGGTGACAGCTGGTTCTTAGATGTGAGGACAAAGGTTTCGGGGCTTGCCACCAGGGAGAACAGCTTTTGATTTCTTCTGGTTTCCCTCCTCCAGACAGGCTCTGTTTGGGGACCTCAACCTCTCAGTCTGCATCAGGGTGTATGGTGTTACTGTGTTCAGAGTTCTTCTCCCTGTTGATGTGCTCAGGGGAGGGGATGGGTGTCTCCAAGTCTTCACACAGAGCCTGGCTTCACTGTTACATGTATTCACAAGTCACCAGTTGCCTTCACACAGAAACTGCTACACTACACACACAGGCTTATCTGTGCCCTGTGCATCACCTATGGGGACTGGCCTCCAGGATGGAGCATTAGGTGAAGCTGGCTTAGACCTCTGTAGAGGCCTCCAATTCACAGACTCTCACTTGATGCCTCAGAAGCATGCCAAGAGCACTCTGTAGCCCAACATCAAGTGCGCTGGGCCTCTAAAGGGTTAAGAATGGTGGGGACATAGTTAAGAGGATCAGAAGGGGCCTGGGCAATGGCTGTCCACGCCTCCTAGCATGGCATTTCCCAAGTGTAAGGTCATAGAGTGCTGCATAACCAGCACTCTGGCAAAGAGACTCAGTGGTCAGGCTCTCTTTGGAGGGTTTGGGGGGGGGGGGGACACACCCTGTTCTGGAAAAGACCTGGATGAGTCAGCACATTTTATAGGGGACTCCAACTGTGTTCACGCATTCCCAGCCCCTCCCTTACTCGCCAGCCTGTCTGATCTCAACCCAGAGAGGCTTTGCCTTCTAGGGGGCATTAAGCAGCGTCTGTGACTACACGGGGAAAGGCATCGTCTAGGAAGAGTCCAGAGGTCTTGCTAAATGTCCCACAGGGCACAGGAGAGGTCCACAACAAAGACTCCGGGGCTTACAACAGTGGGAGTTAAGGAACTGTTCTGGGAGACAGGACCCCCACTCGGCACTGCCCACAGCAGTGGCCTTGGTCTTTCACAGGCCCCTGGGCTATGGCCTGTGAGAAGAGGGAAGACTATCAGGCAGGAAGAATCTGTCTTGGATCCTGAGACCCCACTCTATGGTTTCACACCAATTGTAATGTGGGGCCTCAAGAGCTGTATAGTCTATCCCAACTGGGGGGCACGGGAGGAGGAAGCCCTCCCCCGCCTTAGTGCTATTTAAAATTTAAGTTTGCCTACTGTCAGTGGCCGTCTTAATTTGAGAGATTATAACTTGTTTCCTGGGGTCTCAGCCATGTTGTTTCTCCCACCATGCCTCTTTTTCACCATTCATATATTAGGAGCCCAGAGGGTGATCATGGCAGAGGCCTGCCTGACCTAGATTCATGACTTTGATACTGTTCACTATGGAGCAGAAAGATGTGTCAGCTGCCTGCCCTCCCTCCTGCCACCTTCCTTACGTCTGCTCTCCGCCTTCCATCCTTGTTCTAATCTCATCCTGTTGCTGTGATAAAACCTCTTATCAAAAATAATGCAAGGGAGGAAAAGGTTTATTTCAGCTTTAGGTCTCAGTCCATTGCCGAGGGAAGTCAGGGCAGGAGCTCAGACAAGAACTTGAAACAGAGACCTTGGAGAAACACTGTTGGCTGGCTTGCTCACAGTTAGCTAGCTTTCTTATACAGCCCTCAACCACCTGCCTCGGGATGGTGCCTCCCACAGTGGGCCCCCCACAAGCATGCTTAAGCTCCAGTCAGCTCTGGGGAATTCCTCAGTGGAGGTTTCCCTCTCATATGACTCTAGGTTGTGTCAAGGTAACAGTTAAAGCTAACTAGGACAAGTCTCTGTTCCCCCTGTATCATCCTTCTTCTATCCATCTCCCACCATCCATCCCCTCCTCTTCTCTTCCCTCCTTCTCATCATCCTCCCCTTTCCCACCCTCTCCCATCGTCTTCCCTTCATTATCCAACCACCACCCTTCACCCACCTCCATCCATCCTCTAACTCCCCACCCTCCTTCTTCCTTCTGTCTTCACTCCACCCACTTTCCTCCCTCCCTTCATCCACTCTATCCTTCTTCCATCCTCCCCATCCATTCCCCATCCTCCCTCTGTCCTCCATCTTCCCTCCATCCTCATGTACCATTCCAAGGACAGCAGGGTCTGCTGTGTGCTGTAATCTTCTTTCCTCACATTTGAATCCAAGTCTCTTAGGTAGTGTCCACTCTATTTCTCTGTAGGGGATCACAAGGTTTCTGGTTTGTCTGTTGTTGCATTTTGTTTTGTTTTCCTGGCTCTTTTTCTCATTTAGTTTGACAGAGATTGGACTTTATTAATGTGTGTGTGTGTGTGTAAAGTGTGAGTGTCAGCGTGTGTGCCACCATGTCAGAGGTCAGAAGACAGTTTGCGGGGGTGAGGGGATGTCTCTCCTTCCACTGTGGACAATTAGATTGTCAGGCTCGTCCATCAAGTGCATTTACCTACTGAGCCAGCATGTGGACCCTGTCAGCCACCTTTATCAGTAAATATGCCACCGTTGCCCATTCCTGCCTCCACCTCTATCACTAATAATGCCACAGTTTCCCATCCCCAGGGAACAGACATCCTGGGGGGGAGTCAGACAAGCAAGCACAAAGGAAATAGGCCAGGTGATCCCTGCACGCTCTAACAAGGAGTGGAAGTGAGGCAACATGGCAGTGGCTGGGGAATGGGGACCATATGGAAGAAGTGACATTTAGGACAAGATTTAGGATATGGAAGTGTTGGTGAGGAGTGGAAGAGTCAGTGAATCTGACCAGGAACAACCAGGTCAAAGATCGCAAGGCTTGGTAACAGAATGAGGGTGGCGGCTGGTCCGGACAGGAGGGAGGCGGGACAGGGTCTGTCAAGCCAGGTGAGCTGAGAGAGGGGCACACTGGCTTTCCTGTTGCGTGCGGAGGTGGGAAGGAGGGAACGGCCGAAGGGTGAGCAGTACCGACTTCATGAGCAGCTGCCAGGCTACACCAGCGCTCTGCTTTCTCTTAGTAGTGGAGAAGTTTTACACTGTGTGTGTGTGTGTGTGTGTGTGTGTGTGTGTGTGTGTGTGTGTGTGTGTAAAAGGCAGTGAAGAAAACCAAATCACATTTCCTGACCAGAGACCACAGACATCCCTCCGGCCCCTCCTGAAGGAAAGCATGGAACACTAAACAATGTTGGGATACCACGGATTAACCCCACTAAGCTGCACAGGGGTGGGGTGGGGTGGGGTGGGGGTGGCTTTAATTCCAGGGGCCCTCCTGCCCTCCACAGGGTCTTCAGGCTCAGGGCAGAGCTGGTTCATTCCTCTCACAATTAACAAAAATAGCCAGGTTCCTGGCTGGGGAGGAGAGAGCTAGCTATATACCTGAGCCCTCGGGACCATTCTCCTTTTTAAATGTTGGGTGATATTTACGATGACTACCGGGCTGGGGACCTGGCCCACGTTACCTCTTTTAATGTCACCAGAGTTAAGGAGCCCTGTGGATTCAGTGGCTTTACTAGTGCTGCCTACCGCCAGGCTTTCCAAATGAAAAGCCATTCAGTCTACAACACAACTCCTGAGAGCCTTTCAGTGACTGCTGGTAACATCAAACTCCCTCTCTGGGCTGCTTTAGCATGTATTGTGGAAGGATTGGCTTGTGGAGAGAGAAACTGTCTCAGACACAGGGGAGGAAAATGGGGCAAGGAATGGCCTTCTTTACGTGTCATGCCTGAGGTCACTTGTAGGGTGAGGGTCAGCAGAGAGAAGCGCTATCCCTCCCTGTAGGGCTTGTGAGGGTCATGAACACAGTCTGTACCTTGTGCTCAATACCGAGGCCACTGGCCATTTGTGATCCTGGTATGTGTGCTACGACAAAAAAAAAAAAAAAAGAAAGAAAAAAAAAACTGGAATTTAACTTACTTAATTTAATAACTTTTAAGATCTTTGGGAACAATTTTATGCTTACAAACAAGTAGAATAAAAATAGCACAGAAATTCTCTGTACAGCCTTTCTTTTCTAATTAATTTTTTTAGAAGAGGATGGTAGCATTGGGGATGAGACCCAGGGCCTCATGTAGGCTAGGCAAGCCCTCTACCACTAAGCTACAGTCTAAGGTTGCCCGATATATCATCCTTTCAGTTTCCCCTATGAATGTCCATCACAGCCAGAGTCCGTTTGTCCGAACCAGGAAGTGGGCCTCATGCACTACTCTTAACTAAATGTCAGACTTTATTTGAACTTGATAAGTTTTCTATGAGTGCACTTTTTCTAGTCTATGATGCTTCATTTAGGTTTTAATTAAATAAGGTTTGTTTAAAAATCACCTGTAGCCAGTGGATGGTGCATCCTCCAGAGCAAATGTTCCAAGGGAGCTCCCACCTGAGCCTCTGGCTTGGGGTATGCCCTGAACTGGTGGGGTTTTGTTTGTTTTGTTTTGTTTTAAAGATAGAAACACTTATTACTTACCTAGACTGCCCTGGTAGGGAATAGGGAAGGGTGTTTGGGAAAACAGGGTTTAGGACCAGTCTTTGCCAGTCTTAGGCAATGGGCTGTTAGGGGTTATTCTTGAGTCTCTAGAAGCCCAAGGGGACCAGGGTACAGGGGAGAGGCCCAGG